CAATGACAATGACATTCATAGGAATGTATCATTGTGGTCTCATATTTGCATAAACAGTCCAAAGAAAATAGGCAAACTGTAGAAGCTGCAGTGTCTTTAGCTAAGTAACATTGTGGGACAATAGTTACAAATGATTCATCACTGACCAGAATATCTTCATTGCTGTTGGTCTGGTTTATTTGTTGTGTTGCTGGGAAATCTTCCATATGCTGGGAAAGTCAGCACTTGCCCCTGAGACACCTTAGCCATAGAATGTCTTCAGGCAGCCAATGATTATACAGGTTATAATAAATTTTATTTCTATAGACTTTGGGAAATAAAAATTTAGATTTGTTTGAGCTCAGTCTTCCAGAGGTTTCATGGGCGTGAATATCCCTGAAGTGACAGATAGCAGACTCTCCTTTGCTTGATATTGGTCTTGTGTATTTAAGGGCAAGTGTAATGTCAATTAATATTTTCAAACACAAAATACTCATTTCCTTAAAATTTTAAAGGTTTCTCAGACCTATTGAGCCATTCAAAATAAAGAATAGCATCTCATTTTAAAGAGTAATGGTAGACACTAAATAGAAGCATTATAGTGAAATAATTACTATACATGAAAAAAAATACTACCCCTGTACCCATAGAGCATCCAGTCTTTGACCATTATCACATATCAAAATTTTCATAAAAATTGAATAATTTATAAAATAAAATAAAAATTAATACACCTCTTCTAATCATTAGATACAATAATATTCTAGACATTCTAATTAAGACATTTATGTGTTCTCGCTTGAGATTAGTAATATTTTAACTTATGATCACTTTTCTAATACTGAAAGTTTCATTCCAGACAAAGGCTTTACTCCAGATCACTCATTTACATTTTTTTTTTGTTTTGGGGACAGGTCTTTCATAGTTTTATTCTTAGAACAAGCATGGATTTCTATAGACTGGGCTGTCATTGAGTTTAAGACACTCCTGCCTCAGCTTCCCAAGTAGCTTGGATTAAAGCTAAGGCCACTACACCTGGTGTCCTGGTTACTTTTCATTGTAAACTTGACACAACCTAGGAAGAGAGAATCTCAACTGAGGAATTGCTTTGATCAGGTTAGACTTGTGATAACCACTGTGAGAGGTTGTCCTGAGTGATGGCTGATGTGGGAGGGACCAGCCCTTTGTCTAAATTACCATCCCTAGACACACAGTGCTGGGCTGTGCAAGAAAGCTAGAGATGGAAGCAGAAAGCAGTGCTTCACCCTGCCTTCTGCTTCAGTTCCTGCCCTGGTTTCCTTCAATGATGGATGTGACCTCAAAGTATATTCTCAAACAAATCCCTTCCTTATGTAGTTGCTTTTGATCCAAATGTTTTATCACAACAACAACAACAAAAATCCAACCAGAATGCCAGGCTTTTGTTCCTTTAATTTTTACCAATCTATTGTGTTTCATGGTCCAAAATATTAATTTATGTTGAATCCAGACATCTTTTGACACTTTCTTATTTGTGCAGTGAGGTACAATTCAAAGGTCTGTGGATATTTGAATTAGATTTTTGGATGTAGCTGCAAGATAAGGAATGTTCACTCCCAAGCTTCCCAAATGATATAAGCTTATGAAAATGTACAATATTAATATCTAAAGCACATTTACCTAAAGCTTACTTCCTGACATCTCCTGCTACAGAGCTGAGAGGTTACTATGAATTTAATCAGGCCAAGGAACACAAATATGAGTGCAAGAAATGAAGGACAGTTGGAGATAACCCACCACTGCACAGGAAGCTGCCTACCTGGAATTATACCCTCAAAGTACTCCCCAGCACCTTTCAGGAAACGACAAGAATTTCCATGGCTCAAATAAAACATGTACTCAATTTTCTGTGCAACTATCCGAGGATGTTCACTTGGATGGTGAGCTGAAATTAGAAACAGGCACGTTCACATGTGATAATCCAACCTCAAAGTTGGGTATGGTAAATACATATGTATATATCATATGATATATGCATATAACTCCCATGTTGCTAAAATCTCTAGCTTTTTACTAAGAACTCATGGAGTACCATATTTATTGAAAATACAAATGTCCAATCCAAAAGAAAATTAGATTTGTGCATGTGGCATTTTGGTCTGAGCGTATCTTTTCTATTCCACATCCATGCAACTCCCTGTGCACCTGACTAACTCCATCTTTCTCATGGCTTCCATTTCCCCCTGCAGATCTCCTGCTCCCTTCAGCTGAAATTGTGGCTGGATTCCAAAGGATCGTCTGCCCTCTCTAAATATCCCACTTTGTGGTAACAAACACAGTTACTACCTGTAAAAATGTTTTTTGATGATTGAAGGGTCATTTGCCCTCTGACAGCTGGAAGTCTCTGTATATATTTCTCTGCACATAGTCATCAGAGGATGCATTTAATATATTTTCATATTTATGTAATTAAAATATCTGTTAAAAATTTATTCTGAATTCATGGAAAGTACAATGACAGAGTTATTGCAAAGTGTTTTTGTATCTATATGTTGTGCTTTTGTAACTCAAAGACATGCTTCTAGAAACCCTTATAAAGATGCTAATTAATATTTGTAAGTGACTACATTACCTATTATAAAGTTTGGTCAGTTTTGAACCTTTAGGTTTTAATAATATTTTCCTCCCAAAAGTTCATTTCTATAATAATTTCCACATTCAATAAATTTTATTGTATATTCTTATATTTTGATATCAAATAATTTCAAACTAAGAAATTAACATTCATATTTGTAGAAATATGAGTTTCTACAAATTAATTATTTAAGAGTGTCTATTGTAATTAAGGACAGAACATTGCCTTCTCAATAAATCCCAGAAAATGCACAATAATTTCCCAAGTTCCAATATTTGCACAGGTTTTATTTGTCTTGATCTCAGCCTATGCAAACGATCATGAGTTTCAGGAGAAATAAACAATAAGAAGTAGTTGATGAATCTTCACAAATAAAGACTTTAGAAAAATATTTATACTTGTACAATATTAAAAGGAAATTCTTGAAGTCACTATGTTTTCGGTATCAAGTTCCTCAAATTTGCTACTGTTTTTACATGACAAGATTTAAATAATTGTTCTGTTTCAAAAGAGTGATTTTTGTGTTGTAACTCTGGGGACATATCTGAGTTTTTCTTTGTTTTCCTTATGGGGATAGATTTAGGGATGTGTGACTGACACTGTTCTCTGCATATGTATTTTAGTGTGTGTGCTGTTTTATTGTAACAGCCTATGAGAATACATGGCTGTAATTTGTACATGACTGTTTATAGCTGTGCAAAATGCAGAGTCATAGTAAATATCAATGCTGTTACTAGGAGATAATTTTTAGTCTTTGTTATGTTATTGCCATGCTATACTAAGGAGTAGTTAACATCTTACAATATCCGTTATCACATTAGAAAGAAACTTTGAATTGAGGGTTTGATTTCCTGCCCCCATAAGAACTCTGCTTTGTAGGCCTGGGGGATAGATTAACGGCATACTTGACATGCAAGACTGAGATCAGCATTTGCATCCCCAGCAACCATATAAACTCTTGGCAGGTGTGGCCACAGAAAGTAATCCCAGAGTGTGGGAGGCAGAAATAGGAGATCATTAGAGTAAACTGGGCAGCTACAGCAGCCAAATCAGTGAGCTCTGGGGTCAGCAGAGCACCTGCCTCAATGGAGAAGACGCAGAGCAATTTATTATCTTACCTTTGTGACATAAACAAGCAGAGGAAGTCCTTCATTCGTGAACTGAAAATAGTCAAATATACCTGAGTAATATAAAAACATGAATGAAATTCTATGAACTCAAAAAAGGAAATATACATTTCACAGATGTGTAAATAATAAAGAAACACACAAGAATAGGGAAGAGTTTTAGTAATATAATAGTTACAGATACAGGAGAAAGATTGTTCTCAGTGGCAGACTTCAAATAAGATCTTCAAATAAGATCATAACAAACATTACAAAGCAAACCTTAACATATTGAGATAATTCTTTTTATGTCACATAGATGAAAATTTTTAATTTAGTTTATTTACTACATGGTTATGTTTGAATTTTTGTCATTTAAATCTAAACATTCCTTTATAGACGACAGTTACAATTAAGGATGAATAGTTGAGTAATACAGGTACATATTTAATATTGTAATTGCTGTCATCACTGATTAAATTTAACATTGATTATATTCAATAATATTTTACCCATCAAACATATTTATTTCAATGAAGGAATTCTAAACAAAAATTATTACTGAAAATGAAATAAAATGTAATCAAGAATTTTAACAAAAATGTGAATTGACATTTTTATGATTTTTTGTGCCAGTCATTAGAACTTTAAAATGTATTAATTTCGCTAACATCATTTAGTATCATGTTCTATGAGTTTTATAATATTTTCATGATTTTTCCACAAAATGCATGACACAGTATGACTATGAGAAGGAAAGAATATGTAATATCATTTATACTTGGTGTGGGCAGCCTCCAGCAAGCTAAATGTGAGACAGAGACTTAAAATAAAATATAAGAATCCTCCCGTGGAAACATCCAAACAACCTAAGCCATTGCCAAGGCTATTCAAACTAACAGTGAGGCCTTATTGCTGAAAACAACACTTACACAACTCATTGAACATGGACAAGTTGAGCTGGTGCCTATTTAGAGACTTCACCACTATGGACTAGTGTTCATGATACTAGAAGATACTCTAATTGCTACTGAATGAGAAGAGTAAGCACCAAACCAGCTATGAGAGTGACTTGCTTGAAAGATATGCTAGTGCAACAGAGGCACAAAGCTTGTGCAAATAACCAACCAATATTTGATTGGATGTAAGGCTCACTCCATGAGATGGAATCAATACCCAATGCTGCTTGATGGTCAAGAACATGAGAGTACATAGGCCAGAGACCTAGGGGAAAACCAAACACTAGTGTTCTGCTAAGGGAAATATTAGCAAAATGACTCCGAAATGGCATTCTGATATAGTCATAGATCAGTGTTTCACTCAGTCTTCATCAGAGAATCTTCTCTTTGCATCAGATGAAAACAAATACAGAGACCCACAACTGGACACTGTGCAGAGTATGAGAGACCTCGGAACTTGCAGTCCTAAAAGGGAAGTCTCCATCAAATCTCTCCCCTCATGACTCAGGGAACTATAGAAGAGGAGACAAAAAAGAGTGTGAGAGCCAGAGGGGATGGAGTACACGAAGGAATCAAGGCATTCCAGACACAGCAGGGCTTGCGCACATGTGAACTCACAGAGACTGTGTAGCATGCACAGGGCCTGCATGGCTCTGCATCAGACAGAGTCCTAGAACTGATGGGGGAAGTGGACACATGTCTTCCTACCTAACCCAAAGACTGCCTCCAATTGGTGGCCACTTGCAAATGAAAACTTAATTTCTCCAAGGGAGTCACATGGAGGAAACAAACATTCTTAAGGATAGGCCCCGTGCCTAGCTGTTGATGGCCCAAACAAAACAAATTCAGTAGCATCTTGGGAGATTCTTTGACTCTTAATTTTAAGTCAGGTTTTCATTTTCTTTTGTTTTGATGCTTTTGTTGTTGTTGTTTTAGCTTACAGGTTCTTTGCAAATATATTATGGCTTACAGTTTTGGTTTTTTATAGGATCCCTGTGTGTGCGAATGTGTGCGTCTCCACATCTACCTGCATTTCTTGTGCTTTTCCTTTGGCTCTTTTTCTTGTTTAGTTGTTTTCTCCTATTATGATTTGTCTGATTTTGATTTATATTATATTACTTTATTACTACTCTTTAGTTGCCTGTTTGTTTTCTAATGAAGGATAAATAGGGTGTGGCCTATCATGGTGGAACTGGAAGGTGTAGAGGGAAGAAAACTGTAATCAGAATATATTATATTAAAAAGTCTTCTTCAGTTAAGGAGAAAACCCATCTAAGAATCTCCTGTAAGAGGAAACTTGGTGATTAATCCTCTCACCTTTCTAGAAGACATAGCAATTCTTGTAATACGAAAGTGACACACGACACAGCACACTTAGTTGACCACTGAGCCCTTTCAACAAGAACCCAAAGTGACCTACATTGTAAAGGTGTGTGATGAGAAAAACTGATTTCAAAATTAGCTGAGAATGAGAATTTCCTGTTCAACCTTCAGTGGCACACTAGTGAGAAATCGCCCTTCCCACTCGACTCACTGTGAGCCTCATGGTGGCAACCTGCTTAGTTCCCTGTCACTGTTGTCCTAGATTTCTGTGACAGACTTTCATCTTTGGGTGCTCATCTCCCACAGGCCTCCTGTGAACTCCACACCTCACTGCAGGAGGCCTAGCTTTATGGCAACAGAGGGAACTTGTCACCCACCGTCGGTGACCCCTTGTCTCCACCTGCCCAGGCAGTTCAAAGAACACTCCAAAAGCTACATGTGGAGCAATTAAGGCACAGTCCTAATGCAGGGAATCACACCAGACCACGGATGCCTTTAAACACCTCGGGAAAATCCAGCACATGGAACACACTGGAGGATTATCTCAAAGCTCTGTGCTTATTGTCTGAGGAGATTTAGCCAGCCCAATTGTGTTTGTGTTTCCTTATCAACATAATTAAACCTACAGCCACAGGAGGCCTGGTGATGAAGTGTGGATTTTAAGACAATTTGTGCCCTGTGGATCTTTAGATAAAAACATAGGGATTTACCACAGAAGGCACAGATTGACACACCAAGCTGAGTATGAACTGCCTTACTACATGCATTACAGTGGATATACTTAAACTTAGATTTTAGAAGAATAAACAGAGTTACTAGATTTCAAATACTAATAATTTTTTAACATCATGTGTTACACATCTCAAAGCCAGAAATGATTCTGGACTTCACTGATTCCAAGACTCAAGGATAAAATTACTATATCAAATCTTCTATTATAACTGAATTAGAAATCAGATAAAATGGCAGGTTTTAACAATCAGAAGTTCTCTGGGTACGTATGAACCAACAATATTCTATAATGTAAAGTGTTCACTTTACCACTTTATAAATTCAAAATTTAACCCTTAAATTGATTACACATTATCTCACCAAATAAAATAAGTATCAAAATCTCTTTCGAGAAAAATAATTGTTGTGTTTCAAATATTGTTTAATTTATACATGTTCATTTTGACATGAAACATTTTCCAATATTTGCAATACCTGTAAATTGTTTTGTAATTTCTCTGAACTCTTCCAGTACTCCAAATTGATGCTAATTTAATAGCACATGGTTCATTTTATTAAATTCATATAAATTACTGACCAAAACTAAGATAATGCAAGCAGTTAGAATATAACAACGTTCCTAGCCACTGATCTAGAACATTCAGTTTCTATTCCTGACTGAATTCAAACATCATAAAATTGATGCTTATTTTTTTTTACAGCATTGGGCCTTTCCATGAAGGCATTAAAACATTTCGTGGTGTTATTCCTATGAAAACCGAATTTAATGTATAAATTTTATTCTTTACTTGTGAACCATTTTGTCTAAGTAATTTGGTTTTTACATCTTCCATACTTATAATAATTTGTTAAAGTTATAGTGTTTTTAAAGTTTTATTTTTAACTCTAACACGTGAGCTCAAGGCCCAAGGAAACATTAGACATTTCAACTGTACAAAAGCTCCTGTCTCCGGGCTCCTCCTCTGTGACTGCATCAGGATGGTAGCTTCTTAAGTAGAATCAGCACAGCACCTCCCACCGGACAGTAGACAAGGCGTGACTCATCTGCTCAGGACTGAAGGTGGCTCGGGACCCAGGGGAGCAGCAAAGGAAACGCAGGGGCACTCACAGCTCCATTTCAGTAACCCAGCAGGAAATCAGCTGATGGAGTTCAGCCTTCAAAACACTTCCCACAGTCACCTGGAGATCAACAGGCACTGGCACTGCAGAAGTAAGGCTTTGAATGGACTTGTGTAACTGCTCTGGGGTGCTGGCTGGCACGCAGGCAGGAAAAGGCTCCTAACTGGAAGGAAAGGACCTCTAACTTGACCCATGCTGCTAAAATTTAGGATACGAGCAGTTTTCATTCAGACATTGTTTCAAGAATGTATGATCATTTTGTTCCCTGAAAATGCCTACAGACACAAACCGGTCACAGCATGGAGGAGGGCCTGGGGGATGTGTTTATTCTTCTGATTCTCTGAGTTCTCTTCTGTTTAAATCCTGAGACTATCTGTGTCTGTCTTCTCTCTCATCACTTCCATTTATCCCTACAGATATTTTATCACCTCCAGAGAAGCTCATCGCTGGGATCCTGGGCATCATCTGGTTTGCCTTACTGGTCACCTTGGTGATAACTACCAGCATTGTCTCTCCATGTAAGCATGCTTTTGAGAGATCGTAAAGGAGCTTTCCGCTTTAATGATGAAGCATCTTTCAGTGCTCTTTCCTAGTAAAGAAGACAGATTTTATTTTCAAGTACACAGTTCATCTAATTTTGTCAAAGTTATAAACAACAGGGATTACAATACATTTGATTTTAAGTATACCAATTATGACTTAATAATTCAACAACATTCTTTAGAATACTTTACTGAGAAGTACAAATTAAGTTTTCAGAGTGTTTTTGTCCCCCCACTGGTTGTACTGTGAAGTTGTTAAAATTTAGGATTTCATTGAACTAATTTTCTCCAAAGCTTTTACCAAATTATTCATATTAGCAATTATAATTCTGTATTATTCTAATTCAAATAGTACATAATTTTCAAACTAAGGGACAAAAGTTGTTATGGTTATTTTAGAAGTCAAATTTACTAAGCATTACTTTATTTCTGCAGATATTGAACCAAAGGGGGAAATCCAAACCTTCCTGTTTACAAGTCAGAAAGGTACACATTACTTGTCTAAGTTCTGATGCTTGCACACATTATACTTTGTCTCCAACATAAGCCAGGCAAAGATAATAATCCATTTCTAGGAAGAGAATTATCTAGAAACATGAACACACACCCTCATAAATGAATATTAAGGTATGATAGTGTCCTTTTTATGCAATGAGAAGAATAACCATGTAAAATAACTATACAGCAGTTTTAATAATTGGCTTAAATTACCTACTGGCAAAATATGATGAGTCAGAAATGAATTCAGACTTTTAGAATAGAGGTTATATTCTGTGATTTTGAAGAAATTTGTGGGGAGAGAATTTGTTTTGGACTTCCATGCTTTATATGGACATAAACTATGGATGAGGGGTAGATGCTATGCTTGAGTGTGTTTGAGTGTGCATCTTGTTTTCTATGGACCAGCATCTGGGGTGCATGTCTACATTTTTTACATGGATGCTCAAAACTATGCAAACATGCAAACTAATTTTCAGTATTAAGTTCATATTTCTTCCAGATTAATTTTTAAAAAAAACATAATCTTTCTTCAGCACACTCTTGTGGTCATTGGCCAAAGGAGTGGGTGTCATATTCCCACAGTTGTTATTACATTGGTGTGGATAAAAAGACTTGGAATGACAGTTTGGTGTCCTGCATTTCCAAAAACTCTAGTCTGCTCTACATAGATAGTGAAGAGGAGCAGGTAAGAGCTGACCTGTGTCAATCACTTTTTAACCTTTCTTCCTGTCAATGTGATGTTTGTGGACCTCATTCATATTCTTGTTTTGTTTGCTTGTTTTTTGCAGACAGGGTTTCTCTGTGCAGCCTTGGTTATTCTAGTATTCATTCTGTAGACAAATCTAACTTCAAACTCCCAGAGATCCACTTACCTCTGACTCTTGAATACTTGGATTAAAGTCCAGGCCACCACCAACCTGCACTTTCCTATTCTCATACATGTTTCAATTTATTAGAACTCTGTATAATATTTTGTTGCTTTGCAATATTTTATTTGCATTGTGTATTGATGGTAGATATTTATTTCCAGTTATTTTGTTATTTTATGTTATGAAAGCCATTCTTGTTCAAATGCTTTTAGTTTGAAATAAACTTTGCCACTTAGTTTTTCTGTAAATGTAGAAATCTATACATATAATAATAGTTCAGATCGATCAGAAACTGACTAGGTAGAGACAATTATAGTCAAAGGACTAGGCAGACTATGAAGACTTTCCCATTTCCTCCACTTCCCTCCCCTGTGCTCACTCTCATGAGGTTTTCCTGCTTTCATAAATTATCTTAGCCATTGAACTGTGTATGGGTGGAATCAGCCTGAAATGCACTACTGTGTTGCTACATTTGCCTCTCTGGTAGTGTTTGAGGCAGTTCATCCATGTCACTGCACTGATGTCTGCAGGTTTCTGGCTATCATTGCTTTATTATGTGAATATTACACTACATTATATGAATACTATGTGAAACCAGTGTCCCTAGATGGAAGCAGTGAGAGCCATGCTCTCCGATACAGTTTTCCCACACAGAACATTTATATGTATTCGCAGGACTCTAACCTGCAGCCCTACCCTGGTGTCCTTTAGTGAGGAAGAAACACTCACTCCCTGTGGCTAACCATGCCTACCAGTTCTTCTGAGATGTCACACTGGCACATGATGACAGATCACACAGTCTATCATTTTTAGTCTTGGCCATTGTTGCTGGGGTGAGACTCTCTTCCACACAGAGGAGACATGAACTTACAGGATCCACCTATTGTGGAGTGGGTGCTCAAAGAAAACATGTAAGGTTATTTCCTTCTGTCATATCTGGGACAGGAGATGCCATGCCTCTCTATCATCCCTTATCTTCAGGTGCCAAACTCTTTCAGCTTTCTTTCTGGCATTCCCAATTTGTTGTTTGCCTCCAATTATTATTTTCCAGGTTTATCCTTGTTTAATCACAGTACCCAAGAGAAACATTAATACAATCTCATTTCAGCCCATCAAAATGCTGACAAAGGTAGGGACTTAGCTAAACAATAATGTAATATGCAGAAAACAAATTTTCCATGTGTTTTGTAACATTTCTTTAATCACAACCAATAAATTTTCTTCTAAATCCAAATTCTGAGGAATAGCAGAAAAATAGATTAGTTTGCACACAACTTCCAGAGAATTTCTTTCATAATATCTTTTGTGTTGTTAGTATGGATGACTATTGAGTTATATAAATCAATTGCCAAATTCGACATTAATAGAAGAAGAAAATTTCTAACTATAAACATTTAAAAGCTAATTCTAGATCAAAATTAAACACATATGTGAATGTTTGGGCAATGTAAGAAGTATTCTCTACTTTAATAACTTGATTTGCATTGGACAGTAACCATACTATGAAAGAATACACTTTATTTAAAAAATAATAAGAGCCTTCATACTGATGAAGATTCCTTATTTCTCTGGTAGGAATTTCTGAAATTGTTCTCACTGGTTTCATGGACTGGAGTCTTTCGGGAGAACAGAAATCAATTATGGATTTGGAAAAAAGACTCAACTTTCAAACCAAGGTAAGTTTTCATGAATGATGCAATAGACAAGAAAAAGAAAACACACAAAGAAGCCCTCAGAAGGATGGTGTCAGTAAATGAAGTTGAACTATGGACAGGCAGAATGATTCTGACCTTCGTGAACTGCCCAGGTCAATCTGAAGAATGGGTTACTTGGCTTTCCCAATAATCAGTCCTTACCACACTGTTAGTGAAGACGCCATTGCTGACTTGCATGAGATCCTTCTTCTGCACTCACTTACAGGAGTCATTCATTTAGTAGATTATCTGCATGAAGAATACCTGAATTTGTGTTTCCTCCATTGCAGGATAACAGAGCCTTCCCAGGATGAACACAACTGTGTCATGCTGTCATCTTCTGGCTTCACAGCAGATAACTGCACAGCTTTACATGCATATCTTTGTAAGCATAAGCTCACCAACTAAAGCACCTGCACTTGGAGTCTGCCAGGTAATGTCACATTTCATAACCTCAAAATAGATTTATGATTGTGTACATCTTAAAGTGAATTACCTGTTATGATAAATAATTTCTTTCAGAAACAACTACTGAAGTATAGTAGGCACAAAAAATTGCAATTCCACCTCAAAATCCACCGTGGGAAATCTATGCTTTTATTAGGCAAGAGTGTGAGTGACTCCAAAGCAGCCACATTGCCAAGTCTTTGCCCATTGTGGATGATGGCTTCTTCATGGCTACATAGTTATGGCACTGCACAACTCTCTTTCAACAGCCTACATCTTGTATTACCTCCTGAAACTAAAGACCATGAGTAATTGGGACATAACTGCATACAAATTACAGGAAACTCAGGTGAGGAAAAATAAGTCTCTTCAACCCTTCTCTTTCTATGAGGGAATATTAACACACTATAAGCCCAGTTGTATCAGACTCTTACACTCATGAAAGTAGACACAGCTAATCTGGTGAAGGTGGCATCTGTTTCACCTGGAAGACAATACAGATGCATGACTACTTTTTTAATCCTGTGCCACTGTACTACAGTCATAGTATAAATGACAGTAAGAAACACTTATTCTCAGCAGTATAACTGACTATGAATCTCTGTCACTAACTATACAAATAATTTTCCTAACACTGTAGACAAAGAAGTAATCTATAATCATAAGCAAAAGTATTGAGAAACAATTTTATTAGCAAGTCACACCCATTTAACAAACCATACAAGTAGCTAACCCATTGGGATCTGTTATTTCCCAGCCACAGTTTTTATACTGTCTTCCAGTACAAAACATGGATTGTCTCCTGGGGAGCAACTTAAAACAAATTTTACACATAGCTTGTTACATCTATATCACCCTCTCCTCTATTGATGTAAAGGGCACAGCTTGTCTGTCGTGATGATGACATTAACACAGAGGTTCCATAGTTAACAGGGTCACTGGTGAGACTTTTACCCAATGCTCTGGGTATTGCCTTCCAGCACCGCACGCTATCCAGAAAAGATGAAATTTCCAGGAACCTCAGCTAGTTTTCCATATGCCCCACCACTACAGTATGTGGGGTCTTCAGAAATATGTAGCCCTCTGTTGCAATAACCTGTACATGTATGAGTCTTCAGGGGTCTCCCTGACCAAAAATGTTAAGGGAGGTAATTCAGCTTTACTGGAATTACCATTTCACAACTCAATGCTTCTAACAATCCCTGTGAACCATCTCTCCTGTGTTTAATCTTATGAACTGTTATTTTATTTTAACAGGCCTAGGTTGTTGTATGACTTGTCTCAACAATCTTGTCAAGCATCATCTGAATTGGTTCCAATCATGAGACTCCCAAGAATTTCTACTGCCTGGGCCTTGTTCTTGTGCACATTGATTTTCTGCCCTTGATCCTCTAATGTGTGTGCATAGTTTCATTAAGATGTTTCTCTAAATCTTTCAAGTACTCAGTCAGGGACCTCCACTCCAAGGCAGTAGCAAATGGGCTTAGGATTTAGAATGAAAGGAGATACAAACACAAAACAAAACTTTCTAGAATCCCAACTCAGCATGAAAAGATTCTACCACTTATAGCAATTTTTTTTATCTTTTTTCTCTCTTTTTATTATTATTAATTCAAGTTAGGGAACAGGCTTGTTTCACATGTAATTCCCCTCTCCCTCTCCCTCTCCCTCCCCTTACCCCCATTCCTTCTCCCCCACCTCCAACCTACCCCCCACCCCATCCACCCACCACTCCCCAGGCAGGGTAGGGCCCCCAACCGGGGCTCCACCAAGTCCACCAAATTTTATCTTTAAAAAATGTAATGTTGGGCATAGCAACATGGATGGAGGTGTTATGGTATTTATTTCCCTGTAATGTTCTCACTCATTCTCCTTGAGTTATCTACCTTCATTTTATACCCTCAGGCAAAATTTACCAAAAGTGCAATGCAGGATGCTTCTTGACAACATCTTCACCACCAACTTATTTTCCTGCTTGGGAAAAAGAAAAAGTATACTGGGGGTGGGGGAAACAACTACATTTCCTTCTTAACTATTCTGTCACCATAGTTACATACTGCTGCCCATTGCCTCTAATGGCCTATCAGAATACAAGGCACACCTGGACCCACCATCCACCCTGGAACAGTGATATGATCTTTGTAGAAGACCAATAAATCCACAACTGAACCTGGGGCCTCTGGGTACCCTCACAGTCCTCACCTTGGCCATGCCAATATAGAAATGGCTAAGATGGTTCCCAGAAAACAATGTCTTCCTTCACAGCAATAGCTGCATTGGGACCTGTATCATTCATTGTCCTTTAAGGAACAGTTGTTAGGCTTTGAAACTCATCAGGTCCACAAGTATAACATTAGGCTTTCTGTCCAATTTGTCCTTAGGAACTCAAGATCAACCAAAACCTTGTCACACCAGCTTTTCAGTGATGTGAAGCATTAAGGAGCATGTCTGTTTCCATTTCTAATGGCCACTACAGCAAGGAATCATATCATACCATTCCCTGAAAAGAAAGATGACCATTTTGGAATTGTCTTCACAGATACTCCACTCTTGGATAGTACAACCTCAACTCTGTTTTATTACCCATTCAATGGGCTGTTCCACCGCTCATTTGTGTTCTGTTGGGTCTCTTTGTGCAACAGTTTGTTGCATTAATTTCTCTCAGGAGATACATGTAAATGTCTATTCATTCCAGAGTTCGCATTGAAGAGATCAAAGAAACATCTTAAAGAGGCAACATGAGGATGTTAGATCCCCTGGAGCTGGACTTACAGGGTATTGTTAGCTGTATGACATGGATGCTGCAAACTGAGCCCAGGTCCTATGCAAGAGCAATGAAGTGTTCTTGAACCATCCCTTCAGCCCCAGATATTTTCACTGTTAGGTAGAATTTACATTTGTGTGCTTTCCACCAATGTATTTAGAATACTTTGAGAGTTGACTTGTTTAATTGAACTCTGTCTCTCCCTTCTTGTCATGACTATAGTGCTGAGAAAATAGTTTTATCAGAAAAATAATATTTTAAATAATGGAGAAAAAAGAATTAAAATGATAAAACCATTTTCCTGAGTCAAGCATCTTGTTATTTAGAAGATGGGCATTTGTTTCATTAATTGAATAATGATTAGGGAACTTTAGTTTATTTAAAATAGGGAGAAAGATTATTCACAAAATAATTTAATGTTTCGTATGGTTTTAAATGAAGTATGTCTTATAATGTCTTTTTAATTTTGACATCCAAATAGGAACTATGTATTCAACATTAATTTCATAAAGTACATAAATTATGTCCAAACTCAATTGTTAAATTGTATAATAAAAAGCACAAGATTGTAGTGACATTTAAAATGTAAAGATTTATTTCTCACTCACCTTTGTTGAGGGTGAATCAGGACTCAGCTTGAATGCATTTGGCTGGAGCCTATAAATTCTGCTGAAATCATATGTATATCTATCTTCAGAACCTGGCACACAATCTTTACAAAGACTAATATCTCTCTGAGAGAAACGTAAAAATCTGTTTTATTTTGTTACATATTATGTATTTCAAAAACCATACATTTTGACCAGGGTTGTTGAGCAATGTACACATGTAGCTTGTAAAGGCTGATTGAGGAAGGAAGACCAAGCCACTGGGTTAGGGGTACCCATTTCCTGCTTGGGATCTTGGACTGAGTAAGTGAGAGTGTGGGAGAAGAGCACTCTCCTGCATTTAGGACTCCCTGCTCCTTGACACTGGGTGTTACATGACCAACTCCCTCACACTCCTGCTGCCTTGACGCCCCCACAGAATGCACTGTGCCTGAAGCATGTTAAAATAAATCTTTTCTCCGCTAAGTTGATTTTGTCAGGATGTTTGTAATCACAGCAGCAGGGGAAGAAACTAAGACAGAAGAGTCAGCAGTGGAGTATAAAGCACCTTGCCAGTGGAGCCAGGTCATTTGTTAACCCTCACTGAGTTTTATTACTTATGCAACTCAGTCAAGTGTCTGTTCTGACCCCAAAATGTGACAGACAAGGCATCTTATCCATAGGGCTGCTTGAAGATTATTGAAGCACACTTGTAAAAGCTCTTAAGAGACATGTTCTGGCCCATACATACTCACTAAATCTTTGGTACTTAAAACATCACCATAGAAGTTCTTCTAGTTGTGATCTTTGATTAAAATTCATCAAATAGTCAACAAATTTAATTTTTAAGAAGACTCAAGTCCTAGAAAGAAGTTCCTTCTTTTAACCCAACAGATGTTTATTATTTCACAAAATTCAGGCATAAAAATTAATCTAGTTGAACTAATTCATTCTGTATCAACTATATGAGAATTCTAAAGAAGTCCTTTTAAAATTTTAGTGTCTCTCATATATAGACAGTAATCGTTTTAGCTATTGAATTTTATTTGTAAGAATTAACATTTTTATTGTTAGTGCTCAAACCTTCAGTCTCCTCTCCCCATGTTCTCTTTCACACACATATACATAAAACCAATCTTATATGGTATTTTAAAAAGTGGATTGCAAAGGCTATGATCTAGCAGTAGAACTTTTAAAGCCCCTTCTGATATGGGTCCAGATAAAAACATGATCACTATTGTGGAAGATAAAGACCTTTCCTTCTATCTTCTACTCTCTCTCTCTCTCTCTCTCTCTCTCTCTCTCTCTCTCTCTGTGTGTGTGTGTGTGTGTGTGTGTGTGTGTGTTTGTGTGTGTGTGTGTGTGTGTGTGTGTGTGTGTGCTCCTGTCCCTAGAGGCTGGTCTCCCTCTCTTCCTTCCTCCTTTTTATGATTCCTTTCCTTAATAACCGACCCCTCTGCTGGAACTCTGTCTCATGGCATCTTTCTCTCTCAAGCTACTTCTTTAAAATTACAGCAGGTATGAGATGCACACAGAAAAGATACGGTCAGGATTGTTTTTAAGTACACCAGTGTGTTCCTTCTTCTCCTTTTCCTTCTTTGGAATATTTT